CTGTGAAAGACAGAGAGGAGCTTTAGTCATCTGATGGGAAAGTGATAAGAAGTTTGGTGGCTCTGGCCGTCCTTCCAAAGTGTTGTGTGATCCTGATCCTGTTAATTTTCCGTAGCACCCTATACACTGGCTACCACAGCACCGCGTTATAATGAAATGTACACATACATAGTTGGTTCTCCCAAGGCAGGACTATTTCATTCTATGCCCCTATTACCTAGTAAAATGTCTAATAAATGGCAGGCCCTTGGTAGAAAAAATTGGTGACTGAACTGAACAAATTCTGAAGCAGGGCTGAGAGCCCCAGCACTAACCCAGTAGTGGTTGTTGTTAAAACTGTAACATTAGCATGGATGGCCAGAAGAGTATGTGCCATCCCTGTGCCAGAGTGGTAACACAAGAGGAGATGTCTGCCTCATCGATCGCATGCTCTGCTAGGCATCGTGTTCACTCCAGCCTCAGAGAGTCCTAATAAGGAAACCTGCTGAAAAGGGAGTCTGGTTTCCTATTAATTCCACTAGATCATCATTTGAATGGATTAGATAGCCAAGCTACCTAATAACCACTGGATATTGTGTATGTGTTTACTGGCCTAAATATGTGCCAGTTGTGGCAAGTACTCGAAGTACCTTCTTTTCCCTTACTTTCCATATCCAGTCCATCACTAGACCTGGATATGAAGGCAGACTCTGGAACCAAAATGCCTGGGTTCAAAGCCTGGCTCTACCACTGACAAGCAGTGTGACCTTGGGCTTCTCTGTGCTTCAGTTTTCTTATCTGTATAACAGAGAAAATAATAGTACTGATCCATAAGTTTCGTCCAAGTATTATGTGAATTAAAATACATAGACATGGGGCTTCCCTGGTGGCGCAGTGGTTGAGAGTCCACCTGCCGATGCAGGGGACGCGGGTTCGTGCCCTGGTCCGGGAAGATCCCACATGCCGCGGAGCGGCTGGGCCTGTGAGCCATGGCCGCTGAGCCTGTGTGTCCGGAGCCTGTGCTCCTCAATGAGAGAGGCCACAACAGTGAGAGGCCTGCGTACCGCAAAAAATTTAAAATAAATAAATAAATAAAAAAAAATACATAAACACTTAAAACAGCACCACTCAGTGTGATTTATTTATCTAACCTACTCTCTCCCATTCAACCCCATAGCCGTTATCTTAGATTACTCCTACATCCTTTCCTGCCTGGTCTAGCCTCTAAGGTCCCTTGCTCTAAAGTGTCCTCCAGTCACCTTTCCTAGAATGCCCATCTCTTGCTTAAAAACTCTCTATGAGGGACTTCCCTGGCAGTCCAGTGGTTAAGACTTTGTCCTCCAATGCAGGGGGTGCAGGCCCAATCCCTGGCTGGGGAGCTAAGATCCCACATGCCTCGTGGCCAAAAAATCCAAACATAAAGCAGAAGCAACACTATAACAAATTCAATAAAGACTTTAAAAATGGTCCACATCCAAAAAAAAAAAAAACTTCTCCATGACTTCTCATCCAAAGTCCAGGAAGTCACCGTGCTTTCATAAATTCCTGCATATTCATGTTAATCTTATTTTACTCAGCCTCCCGCTCATTTGCTCCAACCCTGAGCTGCAGTCAATCAGATTCTTAATAATTTCCAATATTCAATATGCCCTTTCTCATCTCCATAACTTGGCATATACCCTCTTCACTAGAACACATACCACTGTTAACTTCAGGTCGCACTTTAAGACAACTCAAAAACTTCTCTGTGAAACTGTTTCTGATCCTTTCAATCCACACCCCTTGCCTCACCACTGCAAAACACATCGCACTGTTCTTCAATTATTTGCTTATACATCTTCCTAGGCTGAATTTCTTGGGAGAAACGCCAATACATTTCCCATCATTGTATTTCAAATCCCTAAACACATGACTATCAATTAAATAAATGATTATTGAATGAATGAATTTGTGCCCACTTGCCTTTCCTAACAGTTAGCTTAATTAGAACATACCATTACTGTGAGTTCATCCACTATTTGCTTTGACCAAGGCAAACATTTAAATCCCTTAAAGCAAAATTTCACAGAACCTAAAATTATATGCTATCCGGCTTGTCAAGAATAGCTCCTAAGAGCGAGTATAGTTTAATGCAGTGGTTCTCAAAGTGTGGTCCCTGGACCAGAGGCATCAGAATTACCTGAGAAACCCTTAGAAATGTAAAGTTTTGGTCAACTCTCCAGACATAATGAATCAGAAACTCGGGGGATGGAGCCCAGCAATCTGTGTTCTAATAAACCCTCCAAGTGATTCAGATATACTCTCAAGTTTGAAAATCACTGGAGTAATTAGAGCAGTCTGAACCAGACCGCCTGAGTTCAATTAACAGCTCTACTCATTATTAGCAGTTAGACAGTAGAACGTTACTTAACCTCTCTGTGTCTCAGCTTCTTCATCTATAATATAAGAATCATAATGATTAGGGTTGTTACGATGATTAAATGAGTTAATGCACAGAAAGTACTTACCACAGTGCTTAATCGGTTAATGATAATTAAGTCTAGCTCTTATTCTTACAAAATCACTATCTTCATGAAATTTATTCTCTATGAGGTGTTCTTCATATTTCCTCATTCTTTTGATTTCATATCCAGAATCTATTTTCATGCTGGTGAATACGACTACTGATAAGTTTGATGAGAACCAGGACTGAACAAAATAGGGCTTCCAGGCCACTAGAAGCCACTGTACTTCCCCACACAGGTCTGCAATAAGATTCCATGAATGGAAGGAGAATTGGTTTTCTATTCTAAAATTAATTGGCTCATGATCTAACAAATGCTGCCTTTGTTTGTTTTTTTGGGTTTTTTTTTGCGGTACGCGGGCCTCTCACCGTTGTGGCCTCTCCCGTTGCAGAGCACAGGCTCCGGACGCGCAGGCTCAGCGGCCATGGCTCACGGGCCCAGCCGCTCTGAGGCATGTGGGATCTTCCCGGACCGGGGCACGAACCCGTGTCCCCTGCACCGGCAGGCGGACTCTCAACCACTGTGCCACCAGGGAAGCCCCTGCCTTTGGTTTTTTATAACATATCCTCATAGTTTTATACGGATTTCTTTTCTAACATGTTCTTCTATTCTTCAGTAGTTTTATCCTTGATAATAGTAACTACTTATCAAGATGAATACCATCCACCAAAAGGAAGGCATTTCAAGAAAAAATATCCCCCAAATGCAAAACTGTCTAAAAAATGTTTAGGTAAGAAAATGTTTTGGTGTAGGCAGAATATTTTGAAACATTATTTTTCTAGTAAATGGAATGCTCATCCATTCTGCCTACTGTTAGATACTGTACACCTTCCAAATATTTAACAGCATTTCAATCTCAGAATTCTTAAAATTAAAAAAATAGTTTTACAGTGGCAAAGTGACAAAGTGTACAGGTACAAAATTTCATGGGAAAATGTCTGGAAGTATTTTTTGCATTCATTACCAGTTAGAAAATTGCATTTATACTCATTACTGTTTGTAATATTATCCAGAGTTAGGGCCACTATTTTGCTTTTTATTATCCTGAGGAGAAGGGAAATTATGTACATTATAAAAACACGCATGCATTCGTATACACAAGACAGAGCTAAGTTTAAATTCTTTTAAAATGTGTGTATTCCCTGGTAATGCAAGCAATTGTCTTATGGCAGTCAGCCTTTTGGGAAATATTTAAATCAAAAGCAACTTCTCTAGCATTGAAACAGGTCAGTGGCCTTGTATGCAATCCTTTGCCCAGCAATGCATAAATTTTTGTTTCAGAAAACTTCTGGTAAGGTATTTCTCAGCTTTCTTAGAAATCTTTCTCATTCTTTGTCACATAAACATTCACTCTACTGATGTCTTAGCACACTAAATTTTATTATTCAGAGAGTTAATATGGAATTGTAGGCCTGTACTTCAACTATGGCATTTTAATTATTTTGAATGCATCTTAACTAGGACATGATTGAAATGAAACCCTTAAAAGAGGTAAATAATCTTGTGATTAATATTGGAAAGAGATGAAAAAGGCTACAATGAAAAACTCTGAATAGCATGTTTAATTTTAGGTATCCCAATTTGAGAAGGCAAATTAAAGAAAGATTCAAAAATTCAAAATGATTAAGAGAAAAGGTGACGGTAATTAATGAAGAAAGCGTACAGGATTTCACTCGGTAGAACATGGTGAAGCAGTGCTTAGTGGTAGAGATGATAATATACTGATATTTAAGGAATATGAACAATGAGAAAGAATATAATTTTCTAAAAATATTGGTACAGTGGGAATTATTAGGAATATTTGGAGGAATTTTTAAGGCAAAAAGATGAAAAGAACCCAAGAAGAAAATTGGATGGTGATACAGATTTATAGTTTAGGTCTGTAACACTAAAACAACCTCTTTCAATAGTTGACTAACTCACATGTCAGCTGATTTTTATGCATATAAATATAGTACAGAGAGTATAGTGTTTTGTATGTTTTAAAGAAAATTAGTGGTCAAAATTAGGCCCAACTTCTGAATCTTGGAGTTCATAATCAGTAAACATAGAAATAAAATGCAAATACCTTGCTTAAACACACTAAGTTACTATTTCAAATTCCCTATTACAGTCTTAGAACAGTCCTATCTATTAATATATTAGTGTTAAAACAATATTAAACAAAAGGTGTTCTCTAGCTAGACAGACAACTCCTATTGCTATTAGAAGAAATCTCATGAGTTAATTCATCAAACAAACAAACAAACAAACAACCATTTTGGTGTGTTTCTTGTGATATGTATCAGACTTTACATAAAATGTTGGCATACAAATTTCAGGTACAGGCAGCCTGATACCAGAGACGATATGGATGAAGTTAAAAGATAAATGAGTACCGATTCTGAAAATTTGGATCCTAGTATTGATTTGCTCACTTCACCGGGTGATCTGAAGCAAGCCATCTGCTCTTTAAGTCCCTGCTTCCCCATATCTGTAACGGGAATAATGTAGGGGGATATATGAATCAGTTGGATA